TAATTATGATTAGAATCACATGCCCCTACTCGGAAACATAAGCTTTGGCAATCTGGTGGTATCAATTTGAATCTGTTGTTTCTTTGGAATATCTAAAATCTTTGGCATCACATATGGTACATGATATGATGGGGGAATTTGGATAGCACAATAAATTCATAACACTCAGTATGCTCTTTTTTTATATCTAAATGCCTGAATATGTGTAATCATTAACAAAATTGATAGTTTCTGGCCCTACAGCAGGTTGTTGTGTGTTGGCAGCAGACCACTCAGAAGAAATATATGATGGGTGCATAATTAGCATCCATGCCCCAGATGCTTTGAAGCTTCTAGGAACGCAAGCAACATACGATGAGTCAAGGATACTTGGTGCTTTTCAGTATGTATACAGGTATGCTGATGTGTCTCTTTCTACTTTTGTGTCTGTCCTAATAAATTATTGCTTAGCTGATATAAATGTAGGATAATCTTAGATGCCTATACATGGAGCTGATATCTATTAGTTGAAAGTTAGTCCCTTAAAGTCTAAGATTTAAGCATTTGGATATATAAAAAACTTCAGCTAATGGAACTAAAAATTCATCTTTCTTTTTTTTCACTTGATTGCCATTTGAACAAATTTATCGTTCTTTAATGGTGCTTTATGTTCCAAGTATCTAGCAACCTAGGAAGGTATAAAGAAAAAAAGATGAATAAATAGAGGATGATATTGAATGAAGAGAAAAACGCTTCAGTATTGTGCTTTGACACCCATTATCTACTGCCATACTAAGGTAGCTCATACTCATAGCATCATGTTATAGTACTTGTGTTAGACCACTTAGCTATAGTATAATAATTCCAAGAAAAAAAAATAACATCTACCATCAGCCAATGATAGTAAACATGTTAGGATTATAAGTTATTCATTAATCTAGATGCAAGATAACTTTTAGGCTTATGCACAGTGTTCTGCCTTTTATTATATATTCTTATGATTGGATAAGTGCATTTGGGGAATTAATATAAGAAATATTTTCTTCTTTACATAACTGTTTGTTGTGAGGTTCAATAACATATACAATGTCTACCGTGAGTGAAGGTATCATCCCTTCTTCTTTCTCTTAATTTATGATATTCACCTTTTCTCATCTTTTTCTTCTTTCAAGTTTTAATCTTCTATTACCTCGTACAAACTTATTGTTGCAACCAATCTGCATTCATTTGCTTGCTACTTTTTGTATTGTCTTGCATGTTTTGATGCAAAGCCTGATCTAGGATAGTTCTAAGAAATAATGCTTGGAATTTATTTGGTGTGGAAAACGGCTCAGAACACCTTTGTTTTACTGCAATGAAGTAGAATTTGGATTCTGGGGACTCGAGAGTCTTGAACAAGCTCATTATTTTCTGATATAACCAGCGATTTAAAAAGGCGCTCAGGCGCTCGCCTAGGCACTCGGGCGAGGCGAGGCCCGAGCGCCTTGCTAATCTCCCAGGCGGCGCGCTTCAAACAAGCGCCGCCTGGGCGCTCACCCGAGCCCAGGCGCTGGCCGCTTCGGGCGAGCGCCTGGGTTAACCAAGGCGACCGAACCAGGATTTTAGGTCTGGTTCGGTCCTGGTTCGGTCTCCGATGGTTAGTTGGTTCAATCGAACCAACTAAAACTGCTATTAGTGACAACCGAACCCTAACCCTCGCCGCTGTCGCTCCCGATCCCGCTGCTCGCCGCTGTCGCTGCTCGTAAATGCTGCCGTTGTCGCCGCTCGCGCCTCCCGCTGCTCGCCGCTCGTCGCTGCCGCTACCGTTTCCTCTTTTCTCAGCCAGCAGGCTCAGCACCCCCTTACACTTCCTTCTTCTCCTTCTGTTAACAGTATACTGTTAACAGTTAACTGTTAATATTGTTAGGTTTATTTGAAATTATTATTTTTCAATACTGTTAATAGATTTTCTTAATTTAATAGCATATTTTAATTAAAATTTTAAATAATTATATTTATTAATTATATTATATATTTTTATATTTTAGCGTCTCGCTTTGCTCGGGCGAGCACCTATCGCCTCAGGCGTTTTTGGACCTTGGCGTCTTTTGGCGCCTAGTGCTTTTTAAATCACTGGATATAACAACCTGTTAGGATGAAAAGATGGACAAATGCTTAATGAGAAGTGTAATCACTCATGGGAATATCTGCCTTCTGCTTTACCAAATTCAATTACATAGACATGTCTCCTTTTGTTGTTAATATTTCTGCTTGTCAATATATGTAATTAAAATTTCTCAATGAACAGTGATATTTATCTTCATCGTGACAAAAGTTTGATGCCCCAAAACCCATCAGCATGGAGTGCTTGGAACTTTCTTGGAACCACACAGCATGGTGTATGTGTTACATATTGGTTAAATGTGTTACAGGTGTGTAGTGCACTGTCTACAGGATATCGTTGTTTGTCTAACATAGTGAATTTGTCAGATTTGCTTCTATAGTTCTATTTAGAGGATGTTTATCTTGAAAGTTAACATTCATTTTTTTCCAATTTCTACTTACATTCTCTATATTATCGTGCAGAATCTGGGTTCTACTGGTCGCCCATTTCTTGTAACTCTGAATCCTCCTCGTATTCCGAAGCACGAGTTACTTAAATGGTACACTAGCCATCCTTTCCCGTCGGTTGCAGCCTCAAAAGCTTCTCTTGAGCTAGATAAAATTCAAGGAAAAAGAACAATATGGTTTTCTGGAGCATACCAAGGTAAAGCAAAAAATTCCCACAGGGAATTCTTGTCTACTTTTTATAATGGGGCCAAATGTATGAACCAATGTCAGGCTTAATTGCATATCATGCAGGTATCCATGATAGTTATATGCATA